ATTTTAAAAAAAAATTTTTTTTTTTTTTTTTTTTTTTTTTTTTTTTTTTGTGTTTTTTAAATCTGAAATTTTCTTATTTAAAAAAAAAAAAGTATTCAATTAATTTAAAAAAAAATTAATTTGAGGTCCAAATTGCCTCCGGTATTATAGTTACTATGAAACTCAGTTCTCTAATAATACAGCATCTTAATCCATTATGGGAAAAATTTTAAAATAAAATAAAATCTTAGTTTAGTAATGAAAATTGTATGTATGTTTTTAATGTTGTTTAGGTGTCACGTGACACTAGGTTTTTTTTTGGGGGGGGGGGGGATAAAGAATATGTGACATTTTGTGACGGGTGGGGGTGGGAGTCTAAAAAGGTCATTTTTAGCGTGACGTAATATTACGAACGATCCCTTAATAACAACATTATTTTCTCAATCTGTTTATTACTTTGAACAATGCATCACTATTCAACGATATTGAAACTGGGTAATAAGACAAGCATTGATCATTGAAACGCTTCGCATTTTCCAATTCAGGAATGTCTTCAATGGCAAGCATCGTTGTAAACCATACACACAACAGCGATTTGACCAAATCATTGTTTTTCTCATAGAGCAGAGCACAAAAAAAACGAGTCTCTTCGTTACAAAACAGAGCACAAAATTAGTCTCTCCGTGATTCGGCGTTCAACCCTTAAGAGGCTGACCGAATCATTCGTTGTCAGCGACCAGTGAAGAGAATTTGGATCACTTTCTGCACACACATCAGCTCCTGTCGTGTGAATAGCCCATTCTTGTCAATGTCACATATTCTGTAAACCTGCATCATGGCCAGGTCCATGGCGGATCTCTTAAACGTCGCCAATCTGAGGAGGACAAATTGAGACCATTGAGATGGTGTAGTTTATGGAGGACAAATTGAGACCATTGAGATGGTGTAGTTTATGGAGGACAAATTGAGACCATTGAGATGATGTAGTTTATGGAGGACAAATTGACACCATTGAGATGGTGTAGTTTATGGAGGACAAATTGAGACCATTGAGATGATGTAGTTCATGGAGGACAAATTGAGACCATTGAGATGATGTAGTTCATGGAGGACAATATGAGAAAATTAAGATGGTGTAGTTCATGGAGGACAAATTGAGACCATTAAGATGGTGTAGTTCATGGAGGACAAATTGAGACCATTGAGATGGTGTAGTTCATGGAGGACAAATTGAGACCATTGAGATGATGTAGTTCATGGAGGACAAATTGAGACCATTGAGATGATGTAGTTTATGGAGGACGAATCGAGACCATTGAGATGGTGTAGTTCATGGAGGACAAATTGAGACCATTGAGATGGTGTAGTTTATGGAGGACAAATTGAGACCATTGAGATGGTGTAGTTCATGGAGGACAAATTGAGACCATTGAGATGGTGTAGTTCTTGGAGGACAATATGAGAACATTAAGATGGTGTAGTTCATGGAGGACAAATTGAGACCATTAAGATGGTGTAGTTCATGGAGGACAATATGAGAACATTAAGATTGTGTAGTTCATGGAGGACAATATGAGAACATTAAGATGGTGTAGTTCATGGAGGACAATATGAGACCATTAAGATGGTGTAGTTCATGGAGGACAATATGAGAACATTAAGATGGTGTAGTTTATGGAGGACAAATTGAGACCATTAAGATGGTGTAGTTCATGGAGGACAATATGAGAACATTAAGATGGTGTAGTTCATGGAGGACAATATGAGAACATTAAGATGGTGTAGTTCAGGGAGGACAATATGAGAACATTAAGATGGTGTAGTTCATGTAGACAATATGAGAACATTAAGATGATGTAGTTCATGGAGGACAAATTGAGACCATTAAGATGGTGTAGTTTATGGAGGACAAATTGAGACCATTAAGATGGTGTAGTTCATGGAGGACAAATTGAGACCATTAAGATGGTGTAGTTCATGGAGGACAATATGAGACCATTAAGATGGTGTAGTTTATGGAGGACAATATGAGAACATTGAGATGATGTAGTTTATGGAGGACAAATTGAGACCATTAAGATGGTGTAGTTTATGGAGGACAAATTGAGACCATTAAGATGGTGTAATTCATGGAGGACAAATTGAGACCATTAAGATGGTGTAGTTCATGGAGGACAATATGAGAACATTAAGATGGTGTAGTTCATGGAGGACAATATGAGAACATTACGATGATGTAGTTTATGGAGGACAATATGAGAACATTAAGATGGTGTAGTTCATGGAGGACAATATGAGAACATTGAGATGATGTAGTTTATGGAGGACAATATGAGACCATTAAGATGGTGTAGTTCATGGAGGACAATATGAGAACATTAAGATGATGTAGTTTATGGAGGACAATATGAGAACATTAAGATGATGTAGTTTATGGAGGACAAATTGAGACCATTAAGATGCTGTAGTTTATGGAGGACAAATAGAGACCATTAAGATGGTGTAGTTCATGGAGGACAAATTGAGACCATTAAGATGGTGTAGTTCATGGAGGACAATATGAGACCATTAAGATGGTGTAGTTTATGGAGGACAATATGAGAACATTGAGATGATGTAGTTTATGGAGGACAAATTGAGACCATTAAGATGGTGTAGTTCATGGAGGAAAAATTGAGACCATTAAGATGGTGTAGTTCATGGAGGACACTATGAGCACATTAAGATGGTGTAGTTTATGGAGGACAAATCGTGACCATTAAGATGGTGTAGTTCATGGAGGTCAAATTGAGACCATTAAGATGGTGTAGTTCATGGAGGACAATATGAGAACATTAAGATGGTGTAGTTCATGGAGGACAATATGAGAACATTAAGATGGTGTAGTTCATGGAGGACAATATGAGACCATTAAGATGGTGTAGTTTATGGAGGACAAATTGAGACCATTAAGATGGTGTAGTTCATGGAGGACAATATGAGAACATTAAGATTGTGTAGTTCATGGAGGACAATATGAGAACATTAAGATGGTGTAGTTCATGGAGGACAATATGAGACCATTAAGATGGTGTAGTTTATGGAGGACAATATGAGAACATTAAGATGGTGTAGTTCATTGAGGACAATATGAGAACATTGAGATTGTGTAGTTCATGGAGGACAATATGAGAACATTAAGATGGTGTAGTTCATGGAGGACAATATGAGAACATTAAGATGGTGTAGTTCATGGGGGACAATATGAGACCATTAAGATGGTGTAGTTTATGGAGGACAATATGAGAACATTAAGATGGTGTAGTTCATGGAGGACAAATGAGAACATTAAGATGGTGTAGTTCATGGAGGACAATATGAGAACATTAAGATGGTGTAGTTCATGGAGGACAATATGAGAACATTAAGATGGTGTAGTTCATGGAGGACAAATTGAGAACATTAAGATGGTGTAGTTTATGGAGGACAATATGAGAACATTAAGATGGTGTAGTTCATGGAGGACAATATGAGAACATTAAGATGGTGTAGTTCATGGAGGACAAATTGAGAACATTAAGATGGTGTAGTTTATGGAGGACAATATGAGAACATTAAGATGGTGTAGTTCATGGAGGACAATATGAGAACATTAAGATGGTGTAGTTCATGGAGGACAAATTGAGAACATTAAGATGGTGTAGTTTATGGAGGACAATATGAGAACATTAAGATGGTGTAGTTCATGGAGGACAATATGAGAACATTAAGATGGTGTAGTTCATGGAGGACAAATTGAGAACATTAAGATGGTGTAGTTTATGGAGGACAATATGAGACCATTAAGATGGTGTAGTTCATGGAGGAAAAATTGAGACCATTAAGATGGTGTAGTTTATGGAGGACAAATTGAGACCATTAAGATGGTGTAGTTTATGGAGGACAATATGAGAACATTAAGATGGTGTAGTTCATGGAGGACAATATGAGAACATTAAGATGGTGTAGTTCATGGAGGACAATATGAGAACATTAAGATGGTGTAGTTTATGGAGGACAAATTGAGAACATTAAGATCGTGTAGTTCATGGAGGACAATATGATAACATTAAGATGGTGTAGTTTATGGAGGACAATATGAGAACATTAAGATGGTGTAGTTCATGGAGGACAATATGAGAACATTAAGATGGTGTAGTTTATGGAGGACAATATGAGAACATTGAGATGATGTAGTTTATGGAGGACGAATTGTGTTATACTGTGGATTTATTTAAAAGTAACAAATCCATCTTGGAAGTCAGGGAGGGAGGGGGGGGGTGACACCATGAGTTTACCTCACCGACCCTAGCTACGCCACTGCCCCCATGTATCATAAACATAATTTTTGATATTTAAAAATAGGGTTGCTCACCGAAGAAACTTAAATGATAGGTTTTAGGAAGAAATGACTAGGAGATTGGTGAGGAAACGTAGTAAGAAAATGTTCAAAACATATGACGGAGAACCGAAATTCACTTTTAACGAGCGCTTATTACATATTGAGACTTAAACGATTCTCCTTTTGAAATACAAATTCAATCAAAGCAGACGGTTGGTTTTCAACTGCTAGATAGCTCATTTTCGAATGGCCCCCCTAAACAATCAAATTGTCCCCCTGTGGCCCCACGTTGGGAAACACCGCTGCATACGGAAGTATACTCTACACGGAAGCACACTCTGTACGGAAGTATACTCTATGCCGAAGTAGATTCTAGAATAGTTGTGCTCCTCTGGACAGCACTTCGAACATATCAAACTGTCTGTTCAGTGAACACACCTATTGCGGGTGTTTGCTATATGGCCAACTGGTCTTAAGAAATAAATTCGCTACTGCAACAGCACGTGATTTTGAGATGAATTTTGTTAAGCATTATTTGTGCTGGCGCATTTGTTTGTGTCTAGCAAGATAATTAAAGAAGTGAAAAATCACAATGACTGAGTTATTTGCATATTTATTTATTGTTTTACGATACATTTTTATACGTAAAATGTGAGGGTTGGGGGCGTGAAGGATGTGCGAAATGTTTTGAAATCAAGAGAACCCCTGTTATAGGTAGAGAACGCTTGTGATAGGTAGAGAGCCCCTGATATAGGTTGATTTTTTTTCTCCACTTCTTTTCCTTTCGTTTGATTTATTTATTTCTGTTGCTTATTGATCTTTGCCATCTGAGCTCGGGAGATATTAAAATCATAAATTGGTGACCTGGTGGCAACAATAAATGGATTACTGTCAGCAAGGGGAGACTACTGACAGGAGATTCATTCATATTTGTGTGTGAGTGTTAATATGCTTTTTAATATTCTCTGTCTCTCTATCTCTCTCTACCACCCCAACGGGCCACGCAAAATACCCCCCACCCTCATAACTTTAAGGGGAGGTATGGGTGAAAAATCTAAAATTTTTAACTACACCTCATTTGGTATTGTAATGGAGGTACAAAACAGGTTTTTTAAAAAAAAATGTCCATTGGTTACCTTTGTAGCCCATAAAGACCTCCACCATTTTTATTTTTGTAGTGTTTTTTAAAAGACTAAGGCTTTTACAAATATTAAGTTATTGCCATCAGATTTTAAACATTGATTATTTAACCTATGATAAAACTTTGTATAACAGGACTTTTTGATATAATGACTGGTTATAAATATACGGGGTCAGAAATTGCGACCCCATTTTTTATGCAAACAATATTTTTTTTTTTTTTTCTATCTCAAAACTTTTGAATCACTTGAGTTGCAACATGTATTTTTCCTAAAAGCATATTAACAGTTTTTTTTTTTTTTGTGAGCCAGAAAATTCATGAGCAATAACTCCATTGTAAAATCTCATTAGTTGTCGGTACTGTATCAAACTTTGACACTAGTCATGTTTAAAATCACATCGCATAGAGATACAATGTTGAAATAAGGGAATTATTGATATGTTCCTTTCAACTACTGTCTTATTCTTTTTGTCCTTGAATAAAACATAATGAATTTTGTGATGTAATATGTGTTAGTCTTCTCTTGCATCCTCTGCCTGAGTTTACTTTTATTTCGATGCATCGAACATATGTGGCGACGAGGAATCTGTAACAATTGGAACACATACTTTGGGCACTCCTTCTTTTTCATGTACAAATTTTCATTTGGGCTAAATGGACCTAGGCACAACAGATCTGTGTAGTTTATCAACAGGAAATATAATGCATGTTGTGGTTTATTGTGTTCCGCAAAGTCATTGCGTGTCTCCAAAGCCACATAATTAATTTTATGGGTTTGCACACTTTTATAATGCTGAAATTCTCCAAAATAAGCGAATTATTATTTTTTCGACAAAAACAGAATAATAGATAAAAATATATCAATCACAGCGACAAGTTGAGTGGTCAGGAAAAAAAGAAAAAAATACCTGGAAAAGGATTAAAAATGTCTCCAATAGGCTAATAAAAAGTTTTTAGCCCAATCGTGATATAAGATTCTTTTTTTTTTCATTGATATTTTCATTGTTTTTGTCGTTTTTCTTCGTTATTTCAGTCTTCTCGTTTTCAATATTTTTGGTCACCATATCCCTATAACTTTTTTATTTCTTATCCATACCTCACCAAATTTTCACAGTATGTTCACTGACCAATAATAAACATTTGGATAACCTAAGATTAAGATAACTATCTTAGAAAAGAAAATATGTAAAAAAGAATTTGCATAAAAAATGGGGGTCACAATTTCTTACCCTGTATATTTATAACTAGTTGATACATCAAAAAGTCCTGTTATACAAAGTTTTATTATTATAGGTTAAATAATCTATGTTTGTAAAATGGTGGAGGTCTTTATGGGCTACAAAGGCAACCAATGGACATTTTTTTTTAAAACCTGTTTTGTACCTCCATTACAATACCAAAAAAGGTGTAGTTAAAAAAATCCTATATGAAGCCAAACAAAAATTTTAGATTTTTCACCCACACCTCCCCTTAAAGTTATGAGGGTGGGGGGTATTTTGCGTGGCCCGATGGGTTGGTAGAGAGAGAGAGAGAGAGAGAGAGAGAGAGAGAGAGAGAGAGAGAGAGAGAGAGAGAGAGAGAGAGAGAGAGAGAGAGAGAGAGAGAGAAAATAAAAAAGCATAAACACACACACACACAAATATTTGACAGTAATCCATTTATTGTTGCCACCAGGTCACCAATTTATGATTTTAATATCTCCCGAGCTCAGATGGCAAAGATCAATAAGCAACAGAAATAAATAAATCAAACGAAAGGAAAAGAAGTGGAGGAAAAAAAAAACTATATCAGGGGCTCTCTATCTATCACAAGGGTTCTCTACCTATAATAGGGGTTCTCTTGATTTCAAAACATTTCGCACATCCTTCGCGCTGCCACCCCTCACAATTTACGTATAAAAATGTATCGTAAAACAATAAATACATATGCAAATAACTCAGTCATTGTGATTTTTCCCTTCTTTAATTATTTCGCTAGACACAAACAAATGCGCCAGTACAAATAATGCTTAACAAAATTCATCTCAAAATCACGTGCTGTTTATTTATTAAGACCAGTTGACCATGTAGCAAACTCACGCAATAGGTGTGTTCACTGAACAGACAGTTTGATTTGTTCGAAATGCTGTCCAGAGGAGCACAACTATTCTAGAATATACTTCGGCATAGAGTATACTTCCGTACAGAGTGTGCTTCCGTGTAGAGTATACTTCCGTATGCAGCGGTGTTTCCCAACGTGGGGCCACAAGGGGACACTTTGATTGTTTAGGGGGGCCATTCGAAAATGAGCTATCTAGAAGTTGAAAACCAACCGTCTGCTAGGATTTGACTTGTATTTCAAAAGGAGAATCGTTAAAGTCTCAATTTAAAATAAGCGCTCGTTAAAAGTGAATTTCAGTTCCCCATCATATGTTTTGAAAATTTTCTTACTACCTTTCCTCACCAATCTCCTAGTCATTTCTTCCTAAAACCTATCATTTAAGTTTCTTCAGTGAGCAACCCTATTTTTAAATATCAAAAATTATGTTTTTGATACATGGGGGCAGTGGCGTGGCTAGGGTCGGTGAGGTAAACTCATGGTGTCACCCCCTCCCCTGACTTCCAAGATGGATTTGTTACTTTTAAATAAATCCACAGTATAACAATGAAAAGAATAAAAAAACAAATAAATTAAAGGTCAGGAGGTAAATGTACTTTAGAACTGTATTTTAAAAATGTATAGGAGCCAGAATGATCAATACGTGGATCGTGAGTCCTCAAAATATAGAAGAAGAAGAAGAAATAACAACGTTAAGTTGTAGTCATTTTTACATTAAATTTACTTTATTAAACATTTTCCTTTCCTGGTCTTCCCAGTGGGCAAATATGTCAATCACTTGAACAAATTCAATATCCTTCACCGTATCACTTTCAACTGATAGTAGAGAGCCAGATTAGAATGGCTTGACTGCCCCATGGTGGATCGTAAAGAGTTCTTAATAAGCCTTAGTTTTGAAAAGCTCCGCTCACATGAAGCCACAGACACACAGATCGTAAGAAACAATTGAAGGCTTAGCGCGAGTATTGGAATAGATTCTAGGAAGTCACATTCAGCTATGAATTTCTAAACATCAAATACTGATCAGTCCTTGAATTTGTGAAATTCAATATCAGCTGCCTTTAGTGTCTTCTAGGCCACGATATTTCTTTTAAAAGTTCATCCTCTGATAACTCATTATAGAAAGAGGTTAATTTTGGAACGGACACCAATAACTCTGAAAGTAGACTCTTGAATTGAATAGCCCCAAACATGATCTGCTACTTCCTTGATAAGTGATGATGTCATCTGGAGTTCAGAATGAAAGCGAGCAATGCGCACCCGCATCTCCATTCTCTTTTATTCTCACAGAGAGGGTCCAGCATCTATTAATTGTTCTCCTTTCATTCTTTTAAAAATTACATTTTCAATAGCATGTTCCACAAATTAAAAGCGCTTCCCGTGAAGAAAAAAATGTTAAGACCTCTAGGTTGGTCACCACTTTTTCAAGAGTAAAGCATCTTATTCTGCAGATACTTCTGTGTAATAGTAACTTCCTCAAGTAGATCATCCCAAGGGTAAAGGTAGCAGATAACCGTGAAATCACAGAATTTTAAAGACCTTTTGCTGTACAACAATCGTGCTTTAATGTTAAGAGGTGGTGCTAGTGACGAATCGGCGAAAATATTTTTGAGCATTTCTGGGTTTCGATAGATTTGGTTTCGAAATCATTTTTTTTTAAAATTTAAATAAATTTAAATTAATAATAAAAAGTTATTAGAACATTTTGTAAGATATTATTTTTTTACCCTAAAAATGGGTACAATTCATTATTTATGTTTTTAATTTTTACCTATTCGATTGATTTACTTAGAATCGTCCGACCATATCATATTTGGATTTAGCGGAAAGCTTTATTTCTCAGAATTTAGATAAATATTGCTTCCTGTCATCTATGAAAGTTACCTAGCACTTCAATCGGCGTTGAATAATGGTCAAAAAAAGGTATTTCTGACGCATCATTGGGATTAGTTACACGTGTGAAAAATCTACGTGTGATTGGTTCTCCTTTTTATGAAATTCCGTTAGACCGAGCGGTGTGTGCTCCGTTCGACCGAGCGGTGTGTGCTCTGTAAATATCCAATTTTTCAATTGGATGTCACCCCCTGGGATGGTATCACCAATTGTTGTCCGCACCCCTAGCTACGTCACTGGTTAACAATATAAATAGGTAAAAAAAGTCACTTTTAAACAGTGTTCTTCTGACCAAATTATAGGGTCACCTCTTTTCAGACGCGTCAACATATAACTAAATAAAGCACGCATTGGAGTTGGTTACATGTGTAGAAAATTTACGTGTGATCGGTTATTCTTTCATGAAAATCGGTTGTATCGAGCAGTATGTGCTCTATAATTATGCAATTTTTCAAATGGGTGTCACCCCCTGAGATTGTGACACCTGATGCGGTCCGCACTCCGCACCCCCCCCCCCAGCTACGCTACTGCATGGGGGGCATAAGAATCTAAAAAGGCTTAGGTGGGGCATGATAAAAAAAAAAGGTTGGGAAACACTGGTATAGAAATTTCTTCCGTATGAAGTATACTTCAGTATAGAGTATACTTCCGTATAGAGTATACTTCCGTATAGAGTATACTTCCGTATAGAGTATACTTCCGTATAGAGTATACTTCCGTATAGAGTATACTTCCGTAGAGTGGTATACTTCCATCCCCCTTTGATGACCACAAGCAATAAAAACACCAGCTTAAGATGCTAAAGTTTTTAAAATTCCTTTTTGTACACAGCCACACTGGATAACGAGAAGGTCGCACTGGATAACGAGAAGGTCGCACTGGATAACGAGAAGGTCGCACTGGATAACGAGAAGGTCGCACTGGATAATGAGAAGGTCGCACTGGATAACGAGAAGGTCGCACTGGATAATGAGAAGGTTGCATTGGATAACGAGAAGGTCACACTAGATAACGAGAAGGTCGCACTGGATAACGAGAAGGTCGCACTGGATAATGAGAAGGTCGCACTGGATAATCAGAAGGTGCACTGGATAACGAGAAGGTCGCACTGGATAACGAGAAGGTCGCACTGGATAACGAGAAGGTCGCACTGGATAATGAGAAGGTCGCACTGGATAACGAGAAGGTCGCACTGGATAATGAGAAGGTCGCATTGGATAACGAGAAGGTCACACTAGATAACGAGAAGGTCGCACTGGATAACGAGAAGGTCGCACTGGATAATGAGAAGGTCGCACTGGATAATCAGAAGGTCGCACTGGATAATGAGAAGGTTGCATTGGATAACAAACGAGAAGGCCACACTAGATAACGAGAAGGTCGCACTAGATAACGAGAAGGTCGCACTGGATAATGAGAAGGTCGCACTGGATAATGAGAAGGTCGCACTGGATAACGAGAAGGTCACACTGGATAACGAGAAGGTTGCATTGGATAACGAACGAGAAGGCCACACTAGATAACGAGAAGGTCGCACTAGATAACGAGAAGGTCGCACTGGATAACGAGAAGGCCTCATTGGATAACGAGAATGCCGCACTGGATAACGACAAGGTCACACTGGATAACAAGAAGGTCACACTGGATAACGAGAAGGTCACACTAGATAACGAGAAGGCCGCACTGGATAACGAGGCACGCTGAAAGCCACTGACACTGTACCCTCTACATACTGACTGCCACTGCCACTACCCTCGACACACTAACTGCCACTGACAAACTAGGAAATTTCCCAATACGACCCTAACTACCAAACTCCCAGCATAACTTATCATACTAACTCCCATCCCGTGTTCTCACAGTATTTATCCGCCTCGCATTGTCTCTGGACATGCAGGTTTCGACACATCTCATAACTACTGGTCCTAACTAAACAGTTCCCCCAGAACTCATCCCGTGCCATCTCATAACTACTGGTCCTAACTAAACAGTTCCCCCAGAACTCATCCCGTGCCATCTCATCACTACTGGTCCTAACTAAACAGTTCACCCAGACCTCATCCCGTGCCATCTCATCACTACTGGTCCTAACTAAACAATTCACCCAGACCTCATCCCGTGTCAACCCCAGCCCGACCGCACTCACAAATCCAGTATCCAGTCAATTGAAAAAAAAAATGAAGTTTTAAAAATGGCTGGGTTTTCCAGCACCCTTAAGCTGGGATGAAGATAAACAAGATCAGCCAAGACACCTTGGGGGAAGACAACTGCGTTCAATCTGTGTTCTTACTCATGATTTTTTTAAATCAATATTTTTTTATGATTGTGCTCAAATTGTGTTATTTGTGTGCTGAAAATGTACAATGCAATCAAAAAACATTTCCATTTGTTTGGATCAATAAAAGAATCTTATCTTATCTTACATTATCCAACGCACCTTTTAAATCCACTAATTTATTTTAATCTGGCTGAGAGTAACGGGGCCAAAGAAATCTTTACTTGTACAAAACATCTTCTTGACGGAATTGCTAAAGTATAAAAGAGGAGGAGTCAACTTTGTATCTGTGTACGTCTTGTATCTGTGTACGTCATGTATCTGTCTACGTCTTTTATTGTGTACGTCTTGTATCTGTGTGAGTCTTGTACCTGTGTACGTCTTGTATCTGTGTGCGTCTTGTATCTGTGTGCGTCATGTATCTGTGTACGTATTGTATCTGTGTACGCCTTGTATCTGTGTGCCTCTTGGATCTGTGTGCGTCTTGTATCTGTGTGAGTCTTGTATCTGTGTACGTCTTATATCTCTGTCCGTCTTGTATCTGTTTACGTCTTGTATCTATGTACGTCTTGTATCTGTGTCCGTCTTGTATCTGTGTGAGTCTTGTATCTGTGTCCGTCTTGTGTCTGTGTACGTCCTGTATCTGTGTGCGTCCTGTATCTGTGTACGTCTTGTATCTGTGTACGTCTTGTATCTGTGTACGTCTTGTGTCTGTGTACGTCTTGTATTTGTGTGCGTCCCATATCTGTGTACGTCTTGTATCTGTGTGCATCTTGTATCAGTGTAAGTCTTGTATCTGTGTACGTCTTGTATCTGTGTGCGTCTTGTATCTGTGTACGTCTTATATCTCTGTCCGTCTTGTATCTGTGTACGTCTTGTATATGTGTACGTCTTGTATCTGTGTGCGTTTGTATCTGTGTACGTCTTATATCTGTGTCCGTCTTGTATCTGTGTACGTCTTGTATCTGTGTACGTCTTGTATCTGTGTACGTCTTGTATCCGTGTACGTCTTGTATCCGTATACGTCTTGTATCTGTGCCCGTCTTGTATCTGTGTCCGTCTTGTATCTGTTTTCTTCTTGTATCTGTGTCCGTCTTGTATATGTGTACTTCTTGTATCTGTGTCCGTCTTGTATCTGTGTCCGTCTTTTCTCTGTGTACATCTTTTATCTGTGTACGTCTTGTGTCTGTGTACGTCTTGTATCTGTGTCCGTCTTGTGTCTGTGTAAGTCTTGTATCTGTGTACGTCTTGTGTGCGTCTTGTATCTGTGTGAGTCTTGTATCTGTGTGAGTCTTGTATCTGTGTGCGACTTGTATCTGTGTGAGTCTTGTATCTGTGTACGTCTTGTATCTGTGTACGTCTTGTATCTGTGTGCGTCCTGTATCCGTGTACGTCTTGTATCCGTGTACGTCTTGTATCTGTATACGTCTTGTATCTGTGTAAGTCTTGTATCTGTGTAAGTCTTGTATCTGTGTAAGTCTTGAATATGTGTGTGTCTTGTATCTATGTCCGTCTTGTATCTGTGTGCGACTTGTATCTGTGTGAGTCTTGTATCTGTGTACGTCTTGTATCTGTGTACGTCTTGTATCTGTGTGCGACTTGTATCTGTGTGAGTCTTGTATCTGTGTACGTCTTGTATCTGTGTACGTCTTGTATCTGTATACGTCTTGTATCTGTGTAAGTCTTGTATCTGTGTAAGTCTTGTATCTGTGTAAGTCTTGAATATGTGTGTGTCTTGTATCTGTGTGCGACTTGTATCTGTGTGAGTCTTGTATCTGTGTGCGACTTGTATCTGTGTGAGTCTTGTATCTGTGTACGTCTTGTATCTGTGTACGTCTTGTATCTGTGTGCGTCCTGTATCCGTGTACGTCTTGTATCCGTGTACGTCTTGTATCTGTATACGTCTTGTATCTGTGTAAATCTTGTATCTGTGTAAGTCTTGTATCTGTGTAAGTCTTGAATATGTGTGTGTCTTGTATCTATGTCCGTCTTGTATCTGTGTGCGTCCTGTATCTGTGTGAGTCTTGTATATGTGTACGTCTTGTGTGCGTCTTGTATCTGTGTGAGTCTTGTATCTGTGTGAGTCTTGTATCTGTGTGAGACTTGTATCTTTGGGGGTCTTGTATCTGTGTACGTCTTGTATCTGTGTACGTCTTGTATCTGTGTGCGCCCTGTATCTGTGTACGTCTTGTATCTGTGTCCGTCTTGTATCTGTGTGCGTCCTGTATCTGTGTACGTCTTGTATCTGGGTATGTCATGTATCTGTGTCTGTCTTGTATCTGTGTGCGTCTTTTATCTGTGTGAGTCTTGTTTCTGTGTACATCTTGTATCTGTGTCCTTCTTGCATTATGTACGTCTTGTATCTGTGTCCGCCTTGTATCTGTGTACGTCTTGTATCTGTGTACGTCTTGTATCTGTGTGCGTCTTGTATCTGTGTCCGTCTTATATTTTTGTACGTCTTGTGTCCGTCTTGTGTCTGTGTACGTCTTGTATCTGTGTGCGTCTTGTATCTGTGTCTGTCTTGTATCTGTGTACGTCTTGTATCTGTGTCCGTCTTGTATCTGTGTACGTCTTGTATCTGTGTACGTCTTGTATCTGTGTCCGTCTGGTATCTGTGTGATTCTTGTATCTGTGCCCGTCTTGTATCTGTGTCCGTCTTGTATCTGTGTTCTTCTTCTATCTGTGTCCATCTTGTATCTGTGTACGTCTTGTATCTGTGTCCGTCTTGTATCTGTGTCCGTCTTTTCTCTGTGTACATCTTTTATCTGTGTACGTCTTGTATCTGTGTACGTCTTGTATCTGTGTCCGTCTTGTGTCTGTGTCCGTCTTGTACCTGTGTCCGTCTTGTATCTGTGTACTTCTTCTATCTGTGTCCGTCTTTTATCTGTGTCCATCTTGTATCTGTGTCCGTCTTGTATCTGTGTCCGTCTTGTGTCTGTGTCCGTCTTGTGTCTGTGTGCGTCTTGTATCTGTGTCCGTCTTGTATCTGTGTCCTTCTTGTATCTGTGTCCGTCTTGTATCTGTGTGCGTCTTGACATAATGAATAGCCTTACGTGTGTTGAGTATTACGGGTGTGAAGCGATACGAATATCATTTCTCCATAAGTTACATTCCAACATTACTCTGGTTGCAAATGGTTTCTCTAAGAAAGGGAGCTCAAAATTTAATGAACACATTTCAGGCGGGTAACTAGACAGCTTACCCTCCTGTAGTGCCATTCCCTTTTGATCTGCGTGACTCTTAAGGAAGGAATAATGGATGTATTGGGGGGTCACGATGTTGTATTTAGCCAACGTTTCAAAAAATATCTACTCAACAAGTGTTCGCCTTTTTTAAACATTGGAAATTACACCGATCAAGTTATTACTCATAAAAATGTTTTAGGAAATGGAGATTACTGAAATTTATTGCAGATATTATTTTGTTGTGGAAAAAAAAGAGAAGGAAAAAAGGCCAAAAGATAATTTTCAGACCAACCGCCTTGAAGGAAAGCAAAATTTGAGAATTTGACCTTACATGGGTCACTCCGGCAAAAAGATATTGACTCCCACCCCTTTTTTTATTTGTCCAAGGTAATCTATTGCCTTCTTTGAAAATCCCATGATATTGGTATACTAAAGACTCATTGGTTCACTCACCGGAAGTGATCACCTCTTGTACATGTTGTCGTCATCAGGAAGCCAAGCAATAGGATTGGCCACCTCACCACGCCGAAGCTGTACATTGACGAGCTGTAATAAAGGCGAGCAGGAGATGTGAAGATGAGCAGGGCGTTGTAACAGAGCGCTGGACTACAAGATTTACCACTGTCTTACATTACCAGGACTCGATGCTGTACACCAGCCCAACAAGTGATGGGATATTTTTTAGCAGTGACAAACAGCTTCACTTGCCCCTCTTGACCTCCGCACCTGGTGTAATAAGCAAAAAATAATAGATTAAACTATCTTGCTTACGCCTGGGAATATTTTTGGAAAGCCACAAATAATTTCTTGAAACGAATGTTAGAAGTTCTAGCAAAAATTAATTTCAACGTGTTGTCGAATTTTTACAGTTGTCCGTTTTCAAAGAAAACTAATTTTTAAAGTAACAAACTTCTGAGTAAGTTAGATGAAAACTGGGAAATTATTTCATACACACGGCTGCACTGTTCTTCAATGTAATCTGTTTAAATAGCAATTATGGCATTCTCTTTTTTTTTTTTTTTTTTTTTTTTTTTTAAAAATTTCACTTCTTTGGCTAATAAATAATTTTAAAAAGTAAATCAATATTCGAAAAAATTTTTTCAATGTAATCTGTTTAAATAGCAATTATGGCATTCTCTTTTTTTTTTTTTTTTTTTTTGCTATTAAAAATCTCACTACATTGGCTAATAAATAATTTTAAAAAGTAAATCAAGATTCGATAAAATTTCATAGTAAGGTGAGGCAAACTTTTTTGTGCAGCGGGCAGTATGGTAAAGTGATTTAGCACCACGCATGATCATGTTCTAAAGATCTAGGATTCATTCCCAGTTCCGTTTAAAGATAAATAATGGAGTGATTATTATTATCATTATAATTGCTGTTTGAAATTGGTTTTCATTGATGTCTACAGATTGTCATCCAAAATTGTTCAATTTCACGGAAACATTAATTCAATAATCCAGTGCCTTAGCGGGTCTTACGGGACAGTAAAAAAACATTTTAGCGGGCCTCTTGTCGAAGGCTGCCCATTTCTGACTTGGAATAGGATGTGTAACAAATTATGACCGTAATATATATATAGTTTATATCATTTGAATTGAATGTAATTCAACAAACAAGCTAAATTATTAGTTAATGGACGATTGGTAAAAATCCTTGTAAACGCCTTCACTATAAACCTACAACTTTTTCATTTAACAACTAAAAAGTTCAAATTGCTCTTTTGTTTCCTTCAAACTTTGGTGTTAATGATGAAAACATAACTCAAAGTTTATAATTATGGATTAAGCTATTTATTGAACGTATTGAACAAGTTCTGTTTATGTTGACAAAATGAATGATAGTGAACAGTACCGTGCAATGTTTTCCACTACGACACCACAAACCTTTCGCCCTGTGTCTGAAACTCATCAACCGCTTGGTTTTTTTGCGGTGGTCGTACACGTCACGAGTCGCTGCCGTCTATTTATAACTATTCTAGCGTCGCCCTATTCCGTCAAACATCAACTACGCCGACGTATGGATGTCATTAGACGTCACTGGCCCTAAACGTAGGACATTGGACTCCAAACAAGCACGCGATGTCAATACGAGCCGTGTGGCATAACAATTGTTTTTTTTCCCCCTTTCTAAAACGTCAAACTACATCTTTTATGCATAAATCAGGCGAATAGTCTTCAACGTGAGAGTGAAGAAACCAGATTCTAAAATCAGATAATGCGTGTTGTAATTTTCTAAGCTTGAAAGTCGTTATCACCTGGGGACTAGGTTAACGCGAGACTCGTCATCTTTAGTTTTATCAAGCTCAAACAAAAAATCTAATTTAAAGAAACGAAAGAACATTGTATTAAGAAGTCTGCGGCAAAATGAAGTGAAACTAACAAATGTTTTATTGAGATGGTTCTGACTCCGTGACAAGCTTCCAAAGACTCTTACATGGTGTCAGTTTATCATTTCTTGGATAATGGATAGTTCGTCTGCTAATTTAGCAGAATCATAAAATAAGATACTCTAACATACGGGTTCTAAATACTGTGAGGATCATTTACCCCGGTGTCAACTTAAAATGTTACCTTTTTATTCGAGGATTGTGAGAATGGCCTCTAGTTTTCTTAGCCAAAGAATCATCAGAATCATCCAATCCATTAAAGCCTATCCAAAAACTAATTAATTAGCTGACTGATAATCTGTCTGTGACGGACAGCCGGACAATTTGAAAATGGTGGGCTACGTTTACGTCAGTTATCTATCTGAGACCGGGACTAAAATATTGGCACCTCGCGAAGTTGTGTAGTCCACATTAAGAAGTTGTGTATTCCCAAAAAAGAAGTTGTGTATTGCCAATAAAGAAGTCGTGTATTCCCAAGAAAGAAATTGTGTATTCCCAATAAAGAAGTTGTGTATTCCCAATAAAGGAGTTGTGTATTCCCAATAAAGGAGTTGTGTATTCCCTATAAAGAAGTTGTGTATTCCCAAGAAAGAAATTGTGTATTCCCAATAAAGGAGTTGTGTATTCCCTATAAAGAAGTTGTGTATTCCCAAGAAAGAAATTGTGTATTCCCAATAAAGAAATTGTGCAATCCCAATAAAGGAGTTGGGTATTCCCAAAAAAGAAATTGTGTATTCCCAAGAAAGAAGTTGTGTATTTCCATTAAAGAAGTTGTGTATTCCCAAGAAAGAAGTTGTGTATTCCCAATAAAGAAGTTGTGTATTCCCAATAAAGAAATTGTGTATTCCGAATAAAGGAGTTGTGTATTCCTTGTAAAGAAGTTGTGTATTCCCTATAAAGAAGTTGTGTATTCCCAATAAAGAAGTTGTGTATTTCCAATAAAGAAGTTGTGTATTCCCAAGAAAGAAGTTGTGTATTCCCAATAAAGAAGTTGTGTATTCCCAAGAAAGAAATTGTGTATTCCCAATAAAGAAGTTGTGTATTCCCAATAAAGGAGTTGTGTATTCCCAATAAAGAAATTGTGTATTCCCAATAAAGGAGTTGGGTATTCCCAATAAAGAAATTGTGTATTCCCAATAAAGAAGTTGTGTATTCCCTATAAAGAAGTTGTGTATTCCCAAGAAAGAAGTTGTGTATTTCCAATAAAGAAGTTGTGTATTCCCAATAAAGAAGTTGTGTATTCCCAATAAAGAAGTTGTGTATTCCCAATAAAGAAATTGTGTATTCCCAATAAAGGAGTTGTGTATTCCCTATAAAGAAGTTGTGTATTCCCAATAAAGAAGTTGTGTATTCCCAATAAAGAAATTGTGTATTCCCAATAAAGGAGTTGGGTATTCCCAATAAAGAAGTTGTGTATTCCCTATAGAGACCGACCGAAAGTGATTTTCTGATTTCGGCAGAAGCCGAAAATAGGCCAAAAATTTAAAATGACTTTTGGCCGAAACCGAAAAAAGGCCGAAAGTTTAAAAATGACTTTCGGCAGAAACCGAAAAAATGCCGAAATATAAAAATGAATTTCGGCCGAAACCGAAGCCAAAACCGAAACCGAAAATGAAATATTAAGATATTTTGAAATTCGATCCCGCATACATTCTGCATGCATCGAAAATGATGTGGGAAAGTATAAATATTTACATTCATTTCATAAAAAATGAGATAATCGTGAATATTAATAAATAAACATCAAATATAGGGGTCTCAAAATCGCGGCCCGCGAGCCATTTGTGACCCGCAAGACGATATTTTGCGGCTCGCTACATGACAGAAAAGTTTAGTGTTAATTCGCCGGCCCGTTTCCCCCATTCTCATATCTATAACGTGACTCTCCGCGACGATTTCAGTCGAATCTAACCGACTAGTCTAATTCTGATTTTTAACAAAATGTTTCTATATATTTTTGTATGCCAGGTCTCTGGCAACAGTGAGTAGGTGGATGAAAGTGACTCCTAGTTCTTGAGAGCACTTAATGATTTTTATTTATAAAGGTTGAGCAGATTGTAACAATTGTAATCGCCTTTTTCTGGATTACTTGATGCGGCCCACTCTCATTCAGACACTACCTCTTGCCCGCCCCCCCCCCCTCCCCCATGATTTGAGTTTGAGATCCTTGATCTAATGAATACTTTGGATTTTACCATTTCAATATAAAAGTAATTTAAATTGCTTTACAATTTTTTTAAAAATTATTATGTTAGTAGAAAANTTTACAATTTTTTTAAAAATTAGTATGGTAGGAGAAAATTTGGCAAAAATTGGGGGGGGGGGGGGGGGGGTGGGGAGGGGAAATTAATACAAAATAATATTTTTTTAAACCGGGTCTCTAAAAAATTTGGTTCTAAAAGATCGCTTAATTTGTTTTTAAAGATCGTTTAGTTGGTTGTTATTGATCGGTGAGTTTGTTCATAAAGATCGCTTAGATTGTTCTAAAATTTCACTTAGTTTAATCTTAAAGATCGTTTAGTTTGTTCATAAAGATCGCTTAGTTTGTTGTAAAGATCGCTTAGTTTTTTTCATAAAGATCGCTTAGTTTGTTCTTAAAGATAATTGATTTTGTTCCTTAACATCGATTAGTTTGTTCTTAAAGATATTTTAGTTTGTTCCTAAAGAACATTTAGTTTTCTTTTAAAGTTCGCTTAGTTTATTCTTATAAATCATTTAGTTTATTATTAAAGATCATTTGTTTTGTTCTTAAAGATCATTTAGTTCGGTCTTAAAAATCGTTTAGTTTGTTCTTTGAGATCGTTTAGTTTGTTATTAAAGATCGCTGAGATTGTTCTTAAAGATCGCTTAGTTTGTTTTAAAGATCGTTTAGTTTGTTCTTAAATGTCGCTTAGTTTGTTGTTAAATATCGCTTTTGCTGAGTATTAAATGACCGTAAACCTGAGTCACTTTCGGCTGGATGGCCGAAAGTCAAAGTCAATTTCGGCCGAAACCGAAGAAAAACGGAAAGTTAACTTTTCTCTTTCGGCCGAAACCGAAATTAAGCCGAAAGTTAACTTTTCAGTTTCGGCCGAAACCGAAACTTGGCCGAAAGTGATAAAATGGCCACTTTCGGCGCCGAAACCGAAGCCGAAGCCGAAATTCGGTCGGTCTCTAATTCCCTATAAAGAAGTTGTGTATTCCCAAGAAAGAAGTTGTGTATTTCCAATAAAGAAGTTGTAGATTCCCAAGAAAGAAGTTGTGTATTCCCAATAAAGAAGTTGTGTATTCCCAATAAAGAAATTGTGTATTCCCAATAAAGGAGTTGTGTATTCCCTATAAAGAAGTTGTGTATTCCCAATAAAGAAATTGTGTATTCCGAATAAAGGAGTTGTGTATTCCTTGTAAAGAAGTTGTGTATTCCCAAGAAAGAAATTGTGTATTCCCAATAAAGAAGTTGTGTATTCCCAATAAAGGAGTTGTGTATTCCCAATAAAGAAATTGTGTATTCCCAATAAAGGAGTTGGGTATTCCCAATAAAGAAATTGTGTATTCCCAATAAAGAAGTTGTGTATTCCCTATAAAGAAGTTGTGTATTCCCAAGAAAGAAGTTGTGTATTTCCTATAAAGAAGTTGTGTATTCCCAAGAAAGAAGTTGTGTATTCCCAAATAAAGAAGTTGTGTATTCCCAATAAAGAAATTGTGTATTCCCAATAAAGGAGTTGTGTATTCCCTATAAAGAAGTTGTGTATTCCAAATAAAAAAGTTGTGTATTCCCAATAAAGTAGTTGTGTATTCCCTATAAAGAAGTTGTGTATTCCCAATAAAGAAATTGTGTATTCCCAATAAAGAAGTTGTGTATTCCCTATAAAGAAGTTGTGTATTCCCAAGAAAGAAGTTGTGTATTTCCAATAAAGAAGTTATGTATTCCCAATAAAGAAGTTGTGTATTCCCAATAAAGGAGTTGTGTATTCCCAATAAAGAAATTGTGTATTCCCAATAAAGGAGTTGTGTATTCCTAATAAAGAAGTTGTTTATTCCCAATAAAGAAATTGTGTATTCCCAATAAAGGAGTTGTGTATTCCCTATTAAAGAAGTTGTGTATTCCCAAGAAAGAAATTGTGTATTCCCAATAAAGAAATTGTGTATTCCCAATAAAGAAGTTGTGTATTCCCAATAAAGGAGTTGTTTGTTCCCAATGCTCCATTACTTAGAAACTCCGATGCCTACATTCGGCCTTTCTTCCCTTCCATGTGACGCTACAGACCATTAGGGCTTTGGCCTGCCTCACCACTTCCTTTCCACTCAGGCCTAACTGATGCTTTTATTTTCATGCTTGAATTCCCAGCTGCTGTAGATAATTTTCCATAGCATCTATCCATTTGAGCCCAGGTCTGCCTTCGAGCCGTCTTTCTCTGGATTTTGGTGGTGCACCCTCTTCACCCCTCTGTCATTTGGCCTTCTCTCTAAGTTTCCTGCCCAGCGTAGCCTGCACTTTTGTATTACTGCTACTATCGTGGGATCCTGATATAGACCTTACGATTCCTGGTTGGTTCGTATTCTCAATCCATAGTCATCCTTTGTTGGTCCCTATGTTTTCCGAAGATTTTTTCTCTCCCATGTGTTTCATAGGTTTTCTGCCGATTTTGTTAGGGTCCATGTTTCACTTGCGTATATTACAACTGGTCTTATAAATGTTATATATATATTTTTATTTCTTATTCGGCCAGGCAAGTTCATATTTGTGGCCCGCCGAATGCCGGATGTATCACAAGTTTTCAAAAATGAAAATTCTCTCTTCACTCACTTTTCATAGAAATATATATATATTTTTGAAGTTAAGTGAGAGAAAAGATCAACAAATATGAAATAAATCTTTGTTTGCTACTTGGCATTTCATTAAATGCAGAATATGTAACTAATTCTGTACAGCTTTTATTTGGTGCTTTATTTATTAGGTATAGTCTTGCAGTTGGAAAGCCTGCAAGAGTGTTTGGGAACGAAGGGGTCTCAGTCTTCTCACTCAGCTGAAAGTATAAAGGCGAATCGTATTAGCATCTCTTCCTATATGCTAGCGAGACGTGGTCAGTATACAGCAGACATGCTGGACAGCTAAACCATCTCCACCTACGCTATCTTGGTAAAGTACTTGGCATAAGGTGGCAGCCCAGAGTCCCTGATACAGAAGTCCTACAACGGGCTGATTTTATCAGCCTCCTTATGCTCCTACAAAAATGACAAGCCAGGTGGGGCAGGGCGTGTTGCGCGAATGTCAGACAGCAGAATTCCCAAACGACTAATGTTCGGTATACTCTCCAGTGGGAAACGCTCAGCTGGTGGTCAACAAGAAAATCACTACAGGACATGGAAATTGACCTGGATTCGTGGGAGAAGCTTGGCGTGGATCATGAAAGCTAGCGTGGCAGACTCACTGTCGAGGCAGACTCACTGACATGGCAGACTCACTGACGTGGCAGACTCGCTGACGTGGCAGACTCACTGCCGGGTCAGACTCACTGGCGTCGCAGACTCACTGACGTGGCAGACTCACTGGTCTGGCAGACTCACTGACATGGCAGACTCACCGACGTGGCAGACTCACTGGCGTGGCAGACTCACTGACGTGGCAGACTCACTGACGTGGCAGACTCACTGACGTGGCAGACTAACTAGCGTGGCAGTCTCACTGACGTGGCAGACTCACTGCCGGGTCAGACTCACAGACGTGGCAGACTCACTGGCGTGGCAGATTCACTGACGTGGCAGACTCACTGACGTGGCAGACTCACTGACGTGGCAGACTCACGGCCGGGTCAGACTCACTGGCGTGGCAGACTCACTGACGTGGCAGACTCACTGGCGTGGTAGACTCACTGCCGTGGCAGACTCACTGCTGTGGCAGACTGACTGGCGTGGCAGACTCACTGACGTGGCAGACTCACTGGCATTGCAGACTCACTGACGTGGCAGACTCACTGCCGTGACAGACTCACGGGCGTGGCAGACTCACTAACATGGCAGACTCACTGCCGTGGCAGACTAACTGACGTGGCACTCTCACTGCCGTGGCAGACTCACTGACGGGGCAGACTCACTGACGTGGCAGACTCACTGACGTGGCAGACTCACTGACGTGGCAGACTCACGGCCGGGTCAGACTCACTGGCGTGGCAGACTCACTGACGTGGCAGACTCACTGGCGTGGTAGACTCACTGCCGTGGCAGACTCACTGCTGTGGCAGACTGACTGGCGTGGCAGACTCACTGACGTGGCAGACTCACTGGCATTGCAGACTCACTGACGTGGCAGACTCACTGCCGTGACAGACTCACTGGCGTGGCAGACTCAATAACATGGCAGACTCACTGCCGTGGCACTCTCACTGACGTGGATGTTTTTTTCTCCAAATTTATTAACGTGGATTTGTCTTCGAATTATTTTGTAAATTTCAGTCTCAGTTTTAACTGGAAAATAAATATATTTCTGAACTAAAATTAATTGAATCACATTTAAGAGCATGTATCAGTCCTGACTGACCCACATGCTTGTCTATTTAAAATGATGCTGCCAGTTGACTTGATTGGAGAGATGCCATGAGTTCTTTTGTTAGTGCAACATAAAAATGTGCTTGTAGGGCCGGTGCTAGTTATGGTGCCAATTAATTAAATTATAATTTTTTTTTAAATCCCAGCATGCTGACATAGACATTTTTTCTTGTTAGGGCTTCGCCTTTTTCCAATAAAAGCCATTTTAATTTCAAACAGATTAGTTTTTACTGGTTCTATGCACAATCAAGCTGATATTAAAATGTATGCTTCATTTTTATATTTATAATTAGTTGTCAGAATAATTATAAAAAGTGTTGGACTGCAATAAAGCTTTAAAATAGATTAATAAGACACGAACAAATTGTGTCAATAGAACAATAAAAGTTACGCTTTAATAATAATTATACATTATACACAAGTAAACGTGTCGGCACACACGCCTTCATCAGTACAAACAAAACACATTTAAGTAAGTATAAATTAAATTTACATAATATCAATATACATATCCTACCTAAAATAGAAAAAATATAGGAGAGGGCGCTAAAACCAGACAAAAACAAAATAAAGAGGAGTAGAAAGGAAGTGATTTGAACATAATTTGTCGCCTAAAAACCAAACAGGAAAAAGACATGGCAGTTACGTAAAATTGTGGATTTGGTTCATTCCATATGGAGACAGCTGCTGTTTTAGGACTCCTACCTTTTTTTGTGGGTAGATTTAAAAAAAAAAAAATGATCAACAGTGGGTGTAAGATGAAAAGTTGAAGGGGGTAAGGGTGCCCAAATTTAGAACTGCCCGATGCGGGGCCTGTGTAGATCTATAATTAGGTTAAAAAGAAATAATCATGACGTGCAAACTTAAAATTACCCCATAATAGTACGACAGTTCATTAAATGATTCATGTTCCGGTTACCTGTTAAACTGTATTTATCTGTTGAAGCAGGAAGATTGATTCCCAGCGAGAGCGCCTTCAGTGGTAATCAACGGTGCTAATTCTTCTTGGTAACGGTTATAAATTGATTTCTGGTCCAAAAAAAAAAACAAAAGGGGGGGGGGGGGGGGGTTATGAATACTTTTTCGGATTTTTTCCCCCCACTTCACACAAACATGCTTGTTGCCAGATATTTTTTTAAGAATAAAGGAATACATACATCAATAATAACATATTAAATGAATAAATATAAGTAAAGTATGATTAAAAATATAAACTACAAAAATTCTGTTGAACGTTGTGGTTTTTTGTATAAACAAAACAGCTGCATTAAGTTTGATATTGATTTTAAACCAAGCGACTTCCATTTCTGCTAACAATGACATCAAATGAACGTGTCTTACCTCGGCAAAAGTGCACCGTGCTTTGTCTTTAAAACAACTGAAAGTCAACGGTGATCGGTTGCTCAGAGTGAGAAGTTTCGACTTTAAAAGAAATGAGAATCAACAGAGGTCAGTCCTCGCGGGCGGATAGAGCGTTCAACTTGTGTCCAATTGTTGACACGGGGATATCGAAGAATATCGCATTTTGGCCGCCGTGTTGGTCGCCCCTCCCCCCCCCCCCCCCCTGTTTGCCATGGTTTTGTCAAGCGGCCAAACATTACCACAGTCGGATTCGGATGCCATGTCCGCTAACTCTTCCCTAATGAAAGGGCCGCCATCACTCAGTCGCCCCCGTACAAATGTAGGGGTAACTGATCTGGAATGATATCGACAGCGCTTTTGGGAAGTGGGGGGGGGGGTTGTCTAGTAATGAAAGAGACACATATTTTTATCACAAAAAATAAATCAACAGAAAATATATATATTTTTTTTATTTATCAATAATCATTATTATAGTTTAAAGCAAGTCCCAAACCCAGGGCTGCCACTCAATTTTTTTTATAATTCCCAAGATTTGGTCAAAACATTTCCCAAGATTTCGCAAGATCATGAAAATATATTAGTTTTTTTTCTTTTTTTGTTTTTTTTTAAGAATCTTGGGGGATTTTTTTTTTAAAAGTGAGTTTTGACCCTGAATGGGGTAGTGAATTCGCAAGATCTTGGGAAATTTCCCAATGTGTGGCATCCCTCAAACCTAAGTCCGCACAATGCATGTGACTGAAAAGAACGACGCTTTAATTTCCAGGTGGACGGTTAGAAGAATGTAAATCTAATACAAATAGATCAAACACCTGTTAAATAGCATAGAGGTTAACGGAATGCGGCCCTCGACTACACATGGTCCTTCAGTTCAGGGCCGGCCCTAACAATTGCGGGGCCCTATGCGAAACGGATTGCGCGGGGCCCAGTCTGGTTAGGGTTAAGGATAATAAATGAAAATTTATAGTTTGTATTTGAAAAAAGTGCGGGGCCCACTGCGGCCGCATAGATTGCTGTGGCCTAAGGCCGGCCCTGCCTTCAATGAGGCCCCATGAATACAAAGATTTTGGGATCTCTCATACGTGTTCGGGACAAGCGTCTGACAAAGCCAGGGGGGGGGGGGAAGAAGTCGGTGCCGAGGAATAGATTGCTTTGTTATTTCAAGAGCTACAAATCGAGTTCTTTCCCCCTTCAAATTAACGGCTCGCGCCTAGGTGGCGCATCCTGTCAGGGAACATTCATCAAAGAAAGCCTGTTGCACTTTGGAATGTTTGAAAGACTAAATAGAAGTAAATCTGATGGTTTCCCCCCTTTGGTTAAACTGACGTCATCATCTCATGAGACCTGCAACTGGTCAAGTGCTTTTAAAATAAACGATAATGGTGTACCAGAAAAGTCCAGGGTCGGGTTGACCATAGTTGACAGGGTCATTGGCAACAAAGGCCTGAATCACTTTGCCACAGAAAATAAGAGTGCGTGATATGAAGTCATTGGCTGGGCGAGATAATTAATTAATTGCGAACTTGTAGTAAGGGCAAGAGACATTAATAATATATTGATAATAATATTCATAAAGAGAAATTGGTCGAAAACAGAAGACATGTTTGCGTGAATTCAAACAGAATATAAGAACTGAATGTATTTCTAAACCTGAAGTTGCCCATTTCAAAATTTTACATTCCGAAATACCCTACATTGCCTACAAGATACTTGATTTGGAAGTTTAAGAATGAGACCAGCAGAAAATTCTTTAAAAGTATCCAAAGATTGGACTATATTACATATTTAAACTTTCAGTGCTCTGTGCCCTTGGCCCTGTGGAAATCCATAAGAGCCTACCAATGTTTTAGTGTACTTAAACATCCATAAATGACGTCACACATATAGACCCCCCAGTGGGGGTGGGGGGGGGGTTGTCACGAATTTTTGACGACGCGTGACGAGGCTGTCCATTTTATTTTTGGCAAATCGTCCATAACAGATTGACGTCCTTTATGGATGGTCTCTCTCTCTTTTTCTCTTTTCTCTCTGTCTCTCTCTCTCTCTCTCTTTGTCTCTCTCTCTCTCTCTTTCTCTCTCTCTCTCTCTGTGTCTCTCTCTCTCTCTCTCTCTCTCTCTCTCTCTCTCTCTCTCTCTCTCTCTCTCTCTCTCTCTCTCTCTCTCTCTCTCTTTGAGTCTCTCTCTCTTTGTCTCTCTCTCTCTCTTTGTCTCTCTCTCTCTTTGAGTCTCTCTCTCCCTTTGTCTCTCTCTCTCTTTGTCTATCTCTCTCTCTCTCTCTAAAAAAACTTTTCATAAATGCTACTAAAAAAGTATGTGCTCTATCTAAGACTTTCAAAACTTATCACATTGACTAATTATTTACCTCCTATGCGTGGGTGACAACACAACATATGTCACCACATCTATAATGACACCGCCACTTATGTGACCACATCTATAATGACACCACCACTTATGTGACCACATCTGCAACGACACCACCACTTATGTGACCACATCTATGATGACACTACCACTTATGTGACCACATCTACAACGACACCAATACTTATGTCACCACATCTATAATGACACCACCACTTATGTGACCACATCTATAATGACACCAATACTTATGTGACCACATCTACAACGACACCACCACTTATGTGACCACATCTATAATGACACCACCACTTATGTGACCACATCTATAATGACACCAACACTTATGTCATGGGTCAGCTGCGTCCTCAACTCAATAGGTAAACAGCCAATGCTGTAGCGGTACATCTCATCCAGTCAAGATTAGAGTACTGTAATAGTTGTTTGTGGTGTTTACCTCAGAACCAAATTCGGAGACTCCAGACGGTACAAAATACTGCAGCACGCATTGTGTCGTGGATGAAGAAATGTGACCACATTGTCCCAGTTCTACGAGATCTCCATTGGGTTCCTGTGAGTGAGCGCATTAACTGCAAAATTCTGTCCCTGGCGTACAGCTAAATACAAGGCTCAGCACCGGAATATCTCAAGGAAATGATTTATAAACATGTATCCTTGAAGAGCCTGCGGTCTTCAACACAGTACTTACTGAGTGTTCCTAGTGTGGATGAACACAGAAAAAGTCTTTTCAATGCTCTTTTAATGCGATAGCGCCAAAATTATGGAACAGCTTTGCTCGATCTTGGGAATTGAAAATCAATTAAGAAACATTTTAAAACTTTTTTGTTTAAATAGATTTCGGAAAACCAGAGCGCAGTGAGCATGTTAAAGTGGCATGGACACCAGCGTGATATAAATATCAAATCTATCAATCTATAATTACACCACCACTTATGTCACCACATCCACAACGACACCACCACTAATGTCACCACATCTAAAACGACACCATCACTTATGTAACCACATCTACAACGACACCACCACTTTTGTCACCACATCTGCAACGACACCACCACTTATGTCACCACATCTACAACGACACCACCACTTATGTAACTACATCTACAACGACACCACCACTTTTGTCACCACATCTGCAACGACACCACCACTTATGTAACTACATCTACAACGACACCACCACTTATGTAACTACATCTACAACGACACCACCACTTATGTCACCACATCTACAACGACACCACCACTTATGTCACCACATCTACAACGACACCACCACTTATGTCACCACATCTACAACGACACCACCACTTATGTCACCACATCTACAACGACACCACCACTTATGTCACCACATCTACAACGACACCACCACTTATGTCACCACATCTACAACGACACCACCACTTATGTCACCACATCTACAACGACACCACCACTTATGTCACCACATCTACAACGACACCACCACTTATGTCACCACATCTACAACGACACCACCACTTATGTCACCACATCTACAACGACACCACCACTTATGTCACCATATCTACAATGGCACCACCACTTATGTCACCACATCTACAACGACACCACCACTTATGTTACCACATCTACAACGACACCACCACTTATGTCACCATATCTACAATGGCACCACCACTTTTGTCACCACATCTGCAACGACACCACCACTTATGTAACCACATCTACAACGACACCACCACTTATGTCACCACATCTACAACGACACCACCACTTATGTCACCACATCTACAACGACACCACCACTTATGTCACCACATCTACAACGACACAACCACTTATGTCACCACACCTTTATCTACATCAACTTTTAACAACATGGTATGCTGATCTTTTTTGATATATCATGTTTTTTGATGAAGTATATTTCTTCGACTGTGACATTATTAGGTAAGTAAATCCTCAGCAAACTGTGATTTATAAACTAAAATGTCACCATTGCTGGTAAAGGGATAAGCCAAATGTCACCATTGCTGGTCAAGGGATGAGCCAAATGTCACCATTGCTGGTCAAGGGATGAGCCAAATGTCAGGTAACGACCAGTTCCCTACTCGGTTTACAGTGGTAACGACCACAAGGGATGAGCCAAATGTCACCATTGCTGGTCAAGGGATGAGCCAAATGTCACCATTGCTGGTCAAGGGATGAGCCAAATGTCACCATTGCTGGTCAAGGCATGAGCCAAATGTCACCATTGCTGGTCAAGGGATGAGCCAAAAGTCACTGTCTTCAATATGCTTAGCTATTTATGTGATTTCGGGGTTTGTACTGCATTGGTGATATTCAGCGCCATGTTTGTTACCCCTTCCTGTCTTACTTGAAGTTTAGCAAAACTCTATTCCTGTGTGTGCTCTCAGACTGAAACACACGGAGTGACTTGTCGTATGCACCATTACAAGATTACACTATATATATAGTTTCGGGTAGATGAGACTCGTAAACCATGGCCGGTAGCTCATATAGGAGAGGGAAACTCTGACTCCAAACCTCCGCTGCCTTGCGGCTATACCCACACGGGAAAGGCTAAGGGAGTAAACCCCGACAGAAAATCAGGAAGTGGAGCTCCTGAAGCGGTCTGTTTTTGAAATCAATTGCATTCCGGCAGCTTCTGCGACGCCAATGGTG